GTGGCTTGCAGAAGTATTGATAATAATAGACTATATTGAGTTTTGAAGTGTAATGAGGAAAATGTACTCCCATACGAATTTTGTTTGCATGATGTAATCATGTGGATGAAGTAAGTAATCAAAGTTTTCTCATTCACAAGAGTTCTGAATGTTTCGAAATTGTGGTAGAAAAGTTCATACCACATTTCGAGGGGGAGAAATGTAAGATTAATTAAGAAAGACGATGATTAAGAAAGATACTTCCCCATACTTCAGATAATGCAATGCATACTATGCATTGAAGGCAAAAGTGATCTATAAAAGATGAATGTGATCGTTGAGGGAGTAAGACGGTCAGAGTTAACGATACCCCTAAAGTAAAGAAATAGCTAAATTCCTGAACCTTTTACAATTCCAATAGGAAGATAGCATAGTCGGCTAGTATTCATACTGGACGAGTTCAGAGTTATCAAGGCGGTGCTAAACGTGCCATATGAGTTTTTAGCAGATTAAACCCAAAATAAGAAATTTAAAGATACACCATCTTCACATAAAATAGAGTAATATGGGGGAGCATGGTATGTAGATACATAAGGCTTGAATAGAAGTGGGATTACATATCCACTACAGTGTTTTAGAGCAACAAATTGCTTAATACATATTGATGTTGTATGACATATACAACACCTGATGTTAGCTCTTAAAGAAGATGAATAAGTAAATAAGAATCTTGTGATACAGGAGGCTATAGAACAATTGCCTTTTGACAATGAAGAGTAACAAAAGCTCCATATGAAAGAAGTGCCACGAGGCCCTAGAAGATCTCAAAGAATAAAAAAGAAATTCAAATGGAGGATAATTCCATCTCATTTGAAAAGCCATGAGAGGCGTTCACTCGTCTAAATGGCAAAAAGCAAAGGAAGATGAAATGAAATTGATAAATACCAACGATATTTAGGACTTAGAAGAAATTTCCAATGAAGCCAAAATAGTAGGCTATAATGGGTCTACAAGACAAAGGTGACTCCAAAGGGAATATAGAAAGATATCCAAAGGGAATATTAAAAGCTATAAAGCGCCACTTGTGGTGAAATGATTTACACAAAGAGAAGGAATAGATTATAATCAGCATGCAAGGATTCTTTTAGAATCATAATGGTGTTAGTGGCATATTATGATTTACAGTTACATCAGAAGAATATAAAGACACATTCCTCAACAGGGATTTGTATGGAAAAGTTTACATGGCATAACTCAAAAGGTTTTGTCGTGGAAGGAAAAGAACGTAAGGGATGTTGCCTGAAGAAATCCATTTATGGATTAAAGCAAGCTTCAAGACATTGGTACTTGAAGTTTGACAGTACAATAAGAAAGTTTGAGTTTTAAAGAGAATGTAGAGAATAATTGTATTTATGCAAAGTTTAAACATGGGAAATCAATTTTCCTAATCCTGCACGTGGATAGCATCTTGCTCGCTAATAGTGGTGTTAATCTACTATTAGAGAAGAAGCAGTTCTTGTCCTCAAGTTTCAATGAGAATGATCTTGGTAAAGCATCATTCGTTCCAAAAATTGGAACTTACCGAGACAAAAGGAAAAGGGGTATTAGAACTATCTCAAGTGTATACTTAGAGAAGATTCTAAAGAAATAAAGTATATATGTGAATAAACCTACGTCTGTTCCTATAGTCAAGGGTAATAGTTTTAGGAACTTTCAGTGTTCCAAGAACCAATGTGAAATCAAAAGGACGTCCTATATGCTTCAGCTGTTGGAAGCTTATTGAGTGCTTATAAGTAAGAACTTACCCTGACATAGTTCATGTATCCGGGATATTTTGGTAGAAGTCCAGTCCAGATATAGATCACTAGAATAGAGTTGAGAATGTTTTGCAATTGTGTAAAGATTTATAGGCCTCATGATGAGTAAGAAAGAATAAGTACTCTCAAATAGTTGTGGGTACAAATGTTAAATTTTGGCGAGATGTTTAGTGAAACCCACATAGTAGCTAACACTCGCAATTGAAGTTTTATTGTGGAAAAGCTCCAAAGAAATAGTTGTGGTGTTATGAAAGATGCATACCTATAGTATAGTTTGTTATGAGGCTTAAGGACAAGCGAAATGGTTAAAAGAACTTACACCTGGAATTGATAATGATATACAACAGCAATAACCATTTAAGTAGTTCGCTCCTATAACAATGAGTCGTGTGCTGCCAAACACATTGACGTTAAAGTTATACGTTGTGAAGGAGAAAGTCCGAAATCATACTAAAAGTATTGAACATAAAAGTAACAAGCAAATGCTTGTGGATCCGCATACAAAAGGCTTACCACCCAGTGTATTTGGAGAACACACAGTCGACATGGGTTTATGGTATAGCCTATGATTTTCGGACAACAAAGGGCCCAAAAGTTAAATAATCTGTTTTCAGAACAGAGATGTGTATTGTAGCTGTTAAGTCTATCGGCGATTGACCGTGACGATGAAGCATGCTTTATGCACTAATCTGTGATGGAACAAATAAAAGTGAAAGGGATTAAAGTCAAATTTTAAAGTTAAAGTATGAGTTGAGATCAAGAGGGAGAATGTTAGAATTGATCTCATCCGTCTTGACCCAACGGTTGAGACGGACCCCTTGACCGTGTCCTGATCGGGGACGTTCAGCCATCTAGTGGCTGGTGGGCCCCCGTTGCATAGTGCCTATAAAGAGAAGGTGGGGCAAACGGCTCTTGACACGAGGTTCAACGGAGCCGCCGTACCCACCGACAGAGAAAACCTAAACCGATCTAAAGCAGTGCTGCCAGCGACGGAAAGCTCCACCACACCGCCGCCGCCTCTGCAGGGTCACCACCGGGCCACTGGACATCGTCTCCACCAGTACGCCGGAACTACCATGACATCGGCGTCCGTGGACCGAATGGTGGAGAAACACATACCTCGGATCTACGGTTACACAGAGGTAATCTACGATTTTAACATCCCCAACCCATTCATCACCATACTGCTCATACTAATCCCCATTCTCCCCATTCAGATCACTTGGGCAAGCTCCCCAAGTTCGACTTCCCCACCTTCGGTGGCGAGAATCCCCAATTCTGGATCACGTGTGCTAAGAATTATTTTGATATGTACCATGTCCAGCCCTCTGTTTGGGTTCATTTCTCTACCATGCATTTCACTAGAGCTACTGCCCGGTGGTTCCAGTCTATGGAACAACAAATTTCAGCTTCTGACTGGCCTACCTTCTGTGCCTTGATCCATGAACGCTTCAGTAGAGACCAACACGAACTCCTCCTTCGCCAACTCTTCAATATTCGCCACACTTCCACTGTGTCCGACTATATCGACAGATTTGTCGCTTTAGTGGAACAGCTATCTTCTTACACCACTAACCCAGACCCTCTTTATTTCACCACTCGCTTCATCGATGGATTGCACGACGATACACGCTCTGTGATTTTGATTCAGCGTCCGTCGAATCTCGATACTGCTTGCACCCTCGCTCTGTTATAGGAGGAGGCTCTGGACCAAGGCCGACGTCGTGATTTCCAAAAGTACGACCACTTGGCGTTCACCAAGGTGTCTGCCAGTAAGGGGCCCTTGCCATTGCCGCCCCCACCTCCTCGTCTGGCTCATGATAAGAAGCTTCCTGACGACAAGAAGTAGTTCCAGCGACCCTCTGTCGATGATCGGCTGGCAACTCTTCGTAATTACCGCAAGGCCCGTGGTTTGTGCATGCACTGTGGTGAAAAATGGGCTCCAGGTCACAAGTGTGCAACCAATCTGCAACTGCATGTGCTGCAAGAAGTCTGGGATCTCTGTCATGTTGATTGCCTTGAACAAGATTGTGCTGATACTAATGCTCCTCAGATGACAGATCATGCTTGTATGATGATTTCAGCCGCAGTTCAGTCGGAGCAGCCCTCTCATCGTACATTGCAACTATTAGGCGAAATTCAGGGCCATCCTATTGTGGTGTTAGTGGACTCTGGAAGCAGTCACACCTTCTTGAGCGACAGTCTTGCTTCAATCGTTTCGGGGGTGGTTCCTTTACATGCTCCGACTCTGGTTAAAGTGGCTGATGGTTCCTCTATTCAGTGCTCCTTGCAAATTCCAAATGTTGAGTGGTCTGTTCAGGGCTTCAAATTTCATTCAGCTCTCAAGTTGTTGCCTCTGGGATCCTTCGACCTCATTCTCGGTATGGATTGGTTGGAGGCTTTTTCTCCTATGAAGATGGACTGGATACAAAAGACACTGTCCATTCCTTATGGCTCCAGGCACATCACTTTACACGGAATTCAGCCTGATGCTACTGATTGCTCTGTCCTTCAGCTGTACCATATTGCAGATAGCAATAGTTCTTCTGCTCCTGTTGCCCCAGAAATCCAACAGTTGCTGGACGAATTCAATGCAATCTTTGCCGAGCCATCGGAGCTTCCTCCTCGTCGTCAGTGTGACCACTCCATTCCGCTGGTACCTGGTGCTCAGCCCGTGGCAGTCTGGTCTTACCGGTATTCTCCTATGTTGAAGTCGGAGATAGAGCAGCAGGTTACTGACATGCTGAATCACGGAATTATTCAACCGAGCACCAGTGCATTTTCTTCTCCTGTGCTGCTTGTCCGGAAAAAAGGATGGATCATGGCGCTTTTGCGTCGATTACAGACAACTGAATGCACTCACAGTCAAGAGCAAGTTCCCTATACCTGTCGTTGATGAGTTACTCGATGAACTATCTTCAGCAAGCTGGTTCTCTTGTTTGGATTTGCGGGCTGGGTTTAACCAAATCAGGCTTGCTCCGGGGGAGGAACATAAGACGGCGTTTTAGACCCATTGGGGCCACTTTGAGTTCACAGTTATTGTTGGAGTTGTTCCAAATTCACTCCAGGATATAGGCCGGGCTTCTAACGGAGCGGAGCGGAGGCCCGTCGCCGGAGGCTTGGGCCGGAGCGTAAGAGAAAACTGCTGCAGAACTATGGCTGAAACTGGAATCGATCTGTATGTCCAAGGATCTAACCAGTAAGATGCAGATGAAGATGAAGCTATTCACTCTGAAGATGAAGGAGGACGATTCAGTGATGAGCCACATCGCTGAATTCAAGAAGATCGTCGCCGACCTAGTGTCGATGGAGGTGAAGTATGATGATGAGGACTTAGGTCTTTTACTGCTATGTTCTTTGCCAAATTCGTATGCAAATTTTCGTGACACCATACTCTTGAGCCGTGATGAACTAACCCTAAAGGAAGTTTATGAGGCTCTCCAGTCTAGGGAGAAGATGAGAGGCATGGTGCAGAATGACGGGACGTCGTCCTCCAAGGGCGATGCTTTGCATGTGAGAGGCAGAACTGAAAACAGATCCTCCAATGATGGCAATGATGGTAGAAAGAACTACGAAAGGAGAGGCCGTTCAAAGTCCAAGCCGCATGGTAATAAAAAGTTCTGTGTTTATTGCAAGCTGACAAATCATAATGTTGAGGATTGCAGAAAAGTACAGAATAAGGAGAAGAGAAAAAACAAGTCGGCTGGTAAGGTCTCTGTTGCTGCTGCTGCATCTGATGATGATTCTGGAGATTGTCTGGTAGTATTTGCTGGTTGTGTTGCTGGTCATGATGAATGGATTCTCGATTCCGCATGTTCATTTCATATTTGCACTAACAGAAATTGGTTTATCTCATATAAGCCTGTACAGAAAGGAGATGTTGTGTGGATGGGAGATGATAACCCGTGTGACATTGTGGGGATTGGATCAGTTCAGATCAAGACTGATGATGGCATGACACGCACGCTGAAAAACGTCAGGTATATACCAGGGATGTCCAGAAATCTTATCTAATTGAGCACGCTTGATGCAGAAGGTTACAAATATTCCAGTTCAGATGGCGTTCTGAAGGTATCAAAAGGTTCTCTTGTTTGCTTGAAAGGTGATCTTAATTCTGCAAAGTTATATGTCCTTAGAGGGTGTACTTTACCTGGTTCTGATTCCGCTGTTGCTGCTGTTACTAATGATGAACCTAGTAAAACTAACCTTTAGCATATGCGTTTGGGACATATGAGTCACCATGGTATGGCAGAATTGATGAAGAGAAACCTGCTGGATGGCTGCACTTCGAGTAAAATAAAGTTTTGTGAGCATTGTATTTTCGGAAAGCATAAAAGGGTACATTTCAACACTTCTGTTCACACCACTAAAGGTACTCTTGATTATGTTCATGCTGATTTATGGGGCCCTTCCCGTAAGTCCTCACTTGGTGGTGCTCGTTACATGCTTACAATTATTGATGATTACTCTAGAAGGGTTTGGCCTTATTTTCTAAAACAGAAAGATGATACTTTTGCTGCTTTTAAGGACTGGAAAGTAATAATAAAAAGGCAAACTGAAAGGAAGGTAAAATTGCTTCGTACTGATAATGGTGGAGAATTTTGTTCGCGTGAATTTAATGATTATTGCAGATCGGAAGGCATTGTTAGGCATCACACCATACCCCATACTCCACAACAGAATGGTGTGGCGAACGCATGAACAGAACCATCATGTCCAAGGCCCTGCTCAGTATGCATCTTTGTCTAATGCCGGGATGAGCAAGCATTTTTGGGCTGAAGTCGCTAATATCGCACTGTTACTTGATAAACAAGTCGCCTTCTATTTCACTAAATAAAAGAACTCCCATTGAGGTATGGTCTGCACGCTGCGATTATTCACAGTTGAAAGTTTTTGGATGCACCGCTTATGCTCATGTTGATAATGGAAAATTAGAGCCTAGAGTGTTAAGTGTCTTTTTCTTGGTTATAGTTAGGAAGTCAAAGGCTATAAATTGTGGAATCCTGAAATAGGAAAGACTTTTATGAGTGTAAGTGTTGTTTTCAATCTGTGATGTTTCTTGTGATTTGCCCTTAGATCATGTTCCAGAAAAAGAGTTGCAGCAGATGCGCATGCAGTGGAGCATGTTGATGATGATACAAAGGTGTGCAGGTGGAGCTGTTGATGAGCATGGTGACCATGATAATGATGTTCTTGAGGATGATGCTCATGATGATGTTCAAACAAACTCCTCCTATTTTGCGATTAGAGGAAGATTTACCTATTGCTCAACATAGAAGTCAAAAAGGACAATTGCACCTCCTAAGCGTCTTATTGAAGAGTGTAATTTGTCTTACTATGCTTTGAGTTGTCTTTGAGCAGGTGGAGAATGTTCATGAGCCAAACAACCTATAAAGAAGCTATTCGTTGTGGTGATCTTGAGAATTGATTTCTACTATGCATGAGATGCAGTCTCTTGAGAAGAACAGTACATGGGAGATTGTACCTTTGCCTAAGAATAAGAAGACCATCAGCTGCAAATGGATTTTCAAGAGAAAGGAGGGTTTATCTCCAAGCGAGCCTCCAAAGTATAAGGCAAGGTTAGTGCTAAAGGCTACAGTCAAATTCTGGGTGTTGACTACAATGATGTGTTCTCTCCGGTGGTAAAACACAGTTCAATTAGTACTTTCCTTAGTATTGTTGCTTCACATGATCTTGAGCTTGAGCAAGTTAGATGTGAAGACTGCGTTTTTGCATGGAGAGCTTGAGGAGGACATATACATGGACCAAGAAGGGTTCATAGTGCACGGCAAGGAAAAATATGTGTGCAAGTTGAAGAGATTCTTGTATGGTTTGAAACAGTCCCTCGTCGATTGGAACAAGAGGTTTGATTCATTTATGTTAGCACACAGATTTTTTAAAAGATCTAAGTATGATAGTTGTGTTTACATCAAGCATGTTAATGGATCACCTATATATTTCTTTGTTATATGTTGATGATATGCTGATTTTTGCCAAGAGTAAGATTGAAATCATTAAGTTAAAGAAGCTATTGAGTAGTGGTTTTGATATGAAAGATCTTGGTAGTGCTAAAAAATTCTTGGTATGGAAATTAGTAGAGAGACAGAAAATGGTTTGCTATTTCTTAGTCAACAAATTATATCAAGAAAGTTTTTCAAGCGTTTCAACATGCAAAATGCTAAGGCTGTTAGTACCCTATTGCACCTCACTTTAAGTTGTCATTTGCTTTCGGTGTCCTAGTACGAGATGCTGAGAGATTGAATACATGTCAAGGGTTCCTTATTCTAGTGTTGTTGGGTCTTTGATGTATGCCATGGTTTGCTCTCGTCTGCATTTGTCATATGCTATGAGTCTTGTTAGTAGATATATGTCTAATCCTGGCAAAGAACATTGAAAGGCAGTTTAGTGGATTTTCAGGTACCTCGGAGCACAATGGCTGATAAGGGTCTTATTGGCTATGTGGATTCTCGATTATGTTTTGATCCGACAAAGCGAAGATCACTTACTAAAGTTATGTGTTTATTGTTGGTAGTTGTCTTTGTGAGTTGGAGGGCTACTTTTACGGTCAGTTGTTGCTTTGTCTACTCTTTCAAGCGAGAATATATGGCTATTTGTGAAGCGTGCAAAGAATTAATTTGGCTGAAAGGTTTGTCTATTTGAGCTTTGTGGAGTTGAATCTTGCATAAGTTTGCACCTTTGTGACAGTCAAAGTGCAATTTACCTCACTAAAGATCGATATTCCATGAGAGAACTAAGCACATAGATATCAAGTATCATTTTGTGCGTGATGTGATTGAAGAAGGTAAGTGAAGGTATGCAAGATTAGTACTCATGCCGATATGATGACAAAGCTCGTTTCTGTTGCTAAGTTTGAGCTGTGCTCAAGCTTAGTTGGTTTAATTGGATAGTCCAAGAGACTATTGTTGGCATCGATGTGGTTTTCTATCTTTGTTATGTTCAGGGATGAAGGGTTGATTTATGATACAAGATGAATTTTGTCTCAAGGTGGAGTTTGTTGGAGTTGTTCCAAATTCACCCGGGATATAGCTGGCTTCGACGGAGCGGAGACCCGTCGCCGGAGGCTTGGGCCGGAGGCGTGAGTGAGTCTCAAGCCCGCCCATCAGGTCTCGCCCTGTCTTTGGGGGTGGGGCGGAGCCCCCATGATCAAGCACAGTATATACACCATTGCTAGGGTTTCGTGGAGACTTGATTCTCTTGTAAGCCGCCATAGGCGTGTAACCCAAAACTCTTGAGATAGTGAGATTGTTGCTGGCTGGTGCCCGTGGTTTTTTCCCCTTCACATCGGAGGGGTTTTCCACATTAAATCGTGTGTCTCCTCTGTGGTTTGATTCTTTACTTCATATTCCTATACGTCGTTCATAACAGTTATGGCCTTCGGCCTCACAGGTGCCCCCAACATGTTCCAAGGCGCCATGAATTCCACCCTCAAGCCTCTCCTCCGCAAGTGTGTGATTGTGTTCTTTGATGATATCCTTGTTTACAGTACCACCTGGGAAGATCATCTTCAGCACTTGCGTCAGGTTTTTGATCTGTTGGCCAAGGACAAATGGTTAGTGAAGCTCTCTAAATGTCGCTTTGGGCAGCAAAGTATTTCCTACTTAGGCCATATTGTCAGCAATTCTGGAGTGGCAACCGGCCCAGCTAAAATCGATTCCATCAAGCTGTGGCCTCAGCCTTCTGAAGTCAAACAGTTGAGGAGCTTCCTCGGGCTAGCTGGCTATTATCGAAAGTTCGTCCGACATTTCGCCGTCATTGCTAGGCCTCTAATAGATCTGCTCAAGAAGGGTTCGTTATTTGTGTGGACATCTGTTCATTCCTCGGCCTTCTTAGCCTTGAAGAATGCACTGGTCCAAGCTCCGGTTCTGGCACTTCCGGATTTTTCAAAGGAGTTCCAGCTTCAGACTGATGCCAGCGACAATGGAGTCGGCGCTGTTCTTCTACAAGGTGGCCATCCTTTGGCCTTTGTCAGCAAGGCTTTGGGTCCTCGTACCCGGGGGCTCTCAACATATGAAAAGGAATTTTTAGCCATTCTAATGGCCGTAGAACAGTGGAGGTCCTACTTGCAGCATGCCGAGTTCACAATCTTTACTGATCAGAGAAGTTTGATGCACATAACTGATCAGAGGTTACACACACCATGGCAGTTGAAAATGTATACTAAGCTGGCCGGTCTCCAATATCGCATTGTCTACAAGCCCGGTGTGTCTAATCTTGCTGCTGATGCTCTTTCTCGGCACCCGGCGCCTCCGGCTCAGTTGGCTGCAATCTCCTACTCTTCCCCGACATGGCTCGCCGAAGTTTCCGACGGCTATGCTCAAGATCCTTTTTCTGCCAGCTTGTTGCAGGAGCTTGCTGTGTCTCCACTGTCCAGTCCTCATTACTCTCTCGTCAGTGGAATCATTCGGTACAAGGGACGAGTTTGGATCGGTGACAATAAACAGCTACAGTCCCGGATTATCTCTGCATTGCACAATAGTGCCATTGGGGGCCATTCCGGCTTTCCAGTAACTCACAGCCGGATCAAGAAACTTTTCGCGTGGCGCGGTATGAAGAATGACATCAAGTTATTTGTTGCTGGCTATACCACTTGCATCCAAGCAAAATCGGACCGCTCAAAATACCCAGGGCTGCTGTCTACTCTCCCTGTTCCATCTGAAGCCTAGCAAGTTATTTCGATGGACTTTATTGATGGCCTTCCTCGTTCTAGGCACGCTGACTGTATCATGGTTGTGGTGGATAAATTCAGTAAGTTTGCACATTTCATCCCTTTGCTGCATCCTTACTCTGCTCAAAAGGTTGCACAAGTCTTCCTTGATAGTGTCTTTCGCCTCCATGGTATGACCACTCAGATTATCTCGGATCGAGACCCAGTCTTCACTAGTACATTTTTGAAGGAGCTGTTCAAATTGGCCAATACTTCACTCTGTATGAGCTCAGCTTATCACCCGCAGTCCTATGGCCAGACGGAGCGAGTGAATCAATGTCTGGAGACATATTTGCGCTGCTTTGTGCACTCTTGCCCTTGTCAGTGGCTCAAATGGATTTCTATGGCTGAATTCTGGTACAACTCGAGTTACCACTCCGCCCTCGGCCGTTCTCCCTTCGAGGTACTGTATGGGCACTCACCTCGAAATTTTGGGCTTACTGATGCATCTGTCTCACCTGTACCTGACGTCGCCGCTCTAATGGCGGAACGAGCTACAATGTGGGCTTCTGTTCGACAACACCTGCTACACGCCCAGCAGCGGATGAAATCTCAAGCTGACAAGGGACGTTCGGAGCGGCAGTTCAACATTGGCGACTACGTCTTCCTCCGACTCCAACCCTATGTGCAGTCGTCTTTGGCGCCTCGTGCACATCAAAAGCTATGCTTCAAGTTCTTTGGGCCGTACAAGGTCGTCGATAAGATTGGCTCCGTCGCCTACAAGCTGCTTCTGCCGCTGGGTTCGTCCATCCACCCGGTCTTCCACGTCTCGCTCTTGAAACCGGCGCCGCCTTCTGCTTCTCCGCCATCAAGCTCTCAGGTTCCTCCACCGCCGGACCTGTCTGATGGCCTTCAAGTACCTGAGAAGATTCTGCAGCGTCGACTGTACCACCGCGGCTCTAGCACTGTCCCTCAGCTCCTGATCAAGTGGTCTGGCGTCGACTTTGAACTCGCCACCTGGGAAGATGCTGATTACATCGTGCAACAGTTCCAGGAGCTCCGGCATGGGGACACGTCGTGTCCCAAGGGGGGAGCGTGTCAGTGCCCCTCACCCTGGCGACCCTGATGAAGGCCCAAGGCCCAGGCGCGGCTCAAGGAAGAGGTCCAAAAGCTCCAAGCTATCCGGCCCAGAGTGGCAGTGCTCCCTGTGTGTGTGTGTGTGAGCCCGAGTGAGGCGTATGTAAGGAAGGGGGATGTACTAAGAAACCTAACTTTGAACTGAATTAAACTAATCAGACGCCGAGCACTCTGCCTGCTGTCCTCGCCTATCCTTTCTTCTTCCCCAATCCAAAGTCCCTCTTCTCCGATTCCCTTCCTTTCTGCTTCTCGCCGCCGGCGAGGGAGACGCTAACATGGTCGGGCAATGAGATGAGGTTGGTAGCCTCTCCTGCTGATCCAGCAATGAGATAGATTTTATCTTGTGCTGAAGGGCTAGATGTTAACAGGGTTACAGTTACAGAGGCAATGAGACAGGTTTAGAATTTGCTGGTACAAAAATGTTCCCCAGTAGAAAGATATTTGTAGAAAAAGTCGTTGATGCAAGACTAAAACCATTTGGAAGGCGTGCATGTAAAGAAATTCCCAATTAATTATAGGTGATCTGCTTGTTATGGCACTAATTGGAAAACAATCAATAACCAGGCATACATGATGTCAAACCCTGGACTACATACATTCCTTGCACGTAACTGTTGAGCATTTTTATAACTGAAGGAATTGCTTCTGCAACTGGTACGGATTAGGACGTACTGTACCGTGCATGTACGTGGTGAAGTAGGGCTCTTATTTCATCCGGATATTTAATAATTTATATATAGAAACAAGTTGACTTTCTTACTGGAAACTAGACGACCGTCCTTGGCTAAAAGAGGGAGATAAGGGACTTGCATCACCGCTGTACAAAATATGACATGCTTGAAGCTTAATGATACGTACGGTACTTGTTACTGAAGAATCTATATGCTCTAAAGAAAATATTTATCTTATGGACTTATAATGGGCATGCTTGCCGCGTGTGTAAAAGCAAGTGTCTTTTTTAAAAAAAAACTTAAAGGCAAGTGTGTTGGAGAAACTTGGCTCAATCCACCAACCGAACCATCAGTCTCTGTATGATGAATATAACATTATCTAGAGTGGTTTTCAGGAAATATCCATTGAGCATTGTAATAGGGATGTAAATCAGGTGGCGCACGAACTTGCAAGAAGAGCTATGCAATCTAAACAAAATTATACTTGGAACGATGAGCCCCCTAGCTTTATTCGAAACTTTCTGATCAATGATGTAACTACTCTCAATAAATAAAGCTCGATGATTTTGATAAAAACAAACAAACCATCAACCACGGGCCATGGCTGGCGTCAGAGGCAAGATCATGTGGCCCGCTCCGCCAAACGCAGTTCTTTCTTCTTCTTCTTCTTCTTCTTGCTTCAGGGGCACGTATTCTTCCTCTACATATCTAACGGTGCAGAACAAGAGTATATGCGCTTAGGCATATTTTACTTTCTCACCCGCTCCGCTTATAAAGAATATACGTGGGCACACACAGCCGAAAGATGACCACCACTTATTCCAATTTGTATGCTTATGCTTATGCTTAAGTGCTTATATAGAATAATACTTCATCTGTTCCCGAATAAATAAATGTATAAAATCATGTTAGTTTTTTAAAGTTTGACCGAATTTATAAAAAACGTTAGGATTTATAAACCCAAATTAGTATCGTTAGATACACCTAATATATATTTTATAATATAATTATTCTAAATATGTGTGCTCTTTTCTCTAAATTTTCTGCCAAAAGTAAAAAAAAATTGACTTAAGACAACTTTAGAGATGGGTTTATTTATAGACATTCTTTTTTTTAGATTTAGTTTGTCCTTAAACTACATCTATATAGGAGCAAACGTGTACATGTGTTGCGAAAGAGCATGTAGTCTGGTGGTTACTGGAGACTCAATAGCACCTGAGGTGCTGGGTTCGTGTAATCTAAAAAAACGTGTACATGTGTTGTAATGGTATCCGTAAAGAGAATAGAGAGTAAGCGAGGGAAGAAGAAGATGAGAGTGAGGAACGTCGGACCGACATATAACAGTGAAACAGGTTATTCAGTTCGAATACAAGCGTAGGAGTATCATGAATTCATGATGTTAATCTATCTCGATCAGTCTCCACCACATCCCATTCCAACCCAACAGATGTGACGCTTGGGTAGCTTTTTCCTTTTGGGTCCATGATGCCATGCATGATGGATACATATATACTGCACCTGTGACTCGCTGTCATGAAAAGGTTGATTATATTCGGCTTTCTTTTTTCTAAGAAAAGGAAACAAGGGCAGTGTTAGGTACCTGAATGCTAGGTCGTCATTTCTTTAAGAGGCTGTTTAGATCTTTTTATTTTGGAGGAATCGGAATCTACCTAGTGGATTAGGTTATTTGGTTTCGAATTTGACATTCCACAACTTTATCGAGTTCACGTATAAGTCTATCTCAAATTCATAGGATAGGAGATGAAAAAATGATTCTATAAATCACAATGCTATATTTCTATTCTGCAACTTATAACACGTTTTTCAACCCACTTCCCTACACTGAAATGCAACATATAAGTATCTCCCCTGTACAACTAACAGTAGTATACATGTATCTTATATATAACTATATTAGCTTAATTAATCTAACAATTATTAAAATGAATTCAGTTCCAATGATCTAAACGGGGCCTAAAGTTTAAACACATCGCAGATACATTACTCACGTATGCATGTTCACACCCCCACGCACACATCCTAATGCAATTCTACTACCAATTCTTCTTAGAACACTGGCCCTGCAGATAATGAAACTGGTAAGATCGCAGCACATAATCCCTCGCTGTTGATTGACACATCGCTTATATATACCACTAAATTAGCCAAAATGCAAAAATCCGTACTGAGTTAAAGATTACGAACCAGGGTGCCAGTGAGAAATTTGCTCAAATTTTGCTAGTCAAAATTCATATGTGCATACTCTTCTTGTTTAAAAAACTCAGACCGCCTTAGTAGCATCTCAAGTCATGTATTTAACTCCCTTGTGGGGCCGAGTTCCAAAAACTCTGAGTAAAAAAAAAAAACCATGTAAATTGTGCTCCTGAGTTATATATTTACATTTAACATTGAGTAGTTTTGAGCGAAACTCAGATGTAAACATGCTGGTCAAAGCGCTTGGTGGCACATCTAGAGCAATCGCGGACTTTAGGATTTTTTTTTTTTCAACGCACGGGGGAGTCACCAGGATGCTCTTAAGAAGAAGGTGAGGCACCCACATCGGTCAGTGCTTGAACGTGGGTGGGCAGCTTGACCCCAGTCAGAGCTAACCAGCCGAGCCCCCGCTCGGTCCTCGATTGGGATTTATCTCGGCCTGCATTGAAGTAGATTCTTCTTATTAGTGAACGCCTTGGGGATATTTTTTTTTTTGTCGAACAAGTTTTTTAATTACTCAAGCAGAATTTATTGCTCATGCATGCAATTATGCTTGGCAGAACCGTCTGAAATAGCACGCTTCCGAGACACTCGTCTTCTACCAGACACTAATCACCCTGAAAGCTGGCTACATCGAACGGTTCCATCGAGCACACCCCAAGAGAGAACTCGAACAATCCACGTTTTCCTCAAGGATCCAATAATAAGAACGAGTTTACAATACTTCGTCCATTTCATACAATAAGAGTTCTTAGAAATACATTATTACAATATCAAGTTCAGAGTTTGGAATTTAAACAGCGGAATTACAATAAACATCTACGGTAAGATACAAGGATCCGTCTGTGCCCACCAGAAGAATCCTCTACATAACAGCCATTCCTCAAGCCGCACCTGCAACAGGGGTAAATAAACCCTGAGTACACAACGTACTCGCAAGACTTATCCGACTAGTGAGAATAATTTTCCGACTCCAAAGGATATGATAAGCTTTATGGTTTGCTGTGTTTCCTTTTTGCAAAAAGTATTAATAGTAGCGAATCCTTATGTATGTATTTTATTAGCAGTCATGATTAATCCCTTAGCTAACCATTCTAGGGAAGCACATGTTCTACTTTCAAGTAAGAGTTGAGCAATCAGATACATTCATTCCCTTTCATCTTCCAGTTCTTACTACGGTGCTAGATCTTAGACAAGTCGTACCTATTACACGACGATTCGCGAACCAATATAGCCCAGCTGAGTACCCCAAAACATACGCTTCGCTTGTACCCCAGGCACAAGTAGGACCAACCCATCACTCTCCTGTCAAGGGGTTCAGGTCCCCGTCCAAACTTGAACTCCAAGCCCCCACACCTGAATTCCGGACTCAATGTGGTGCTTAGACCTCCACCATCACCGCCTCCAATCAGTCGGTCCGGAAAGAGCCAGAACCCATGACAAGAGAGCAACGAGCCTTCCCACTCCCATAAGCAAATATGTGCTCAAGATAATAAGTCTGTGACCTGACTAGAATCCAATGCAACGGCCGGTCCTTAACCGACACTAACTCTGGGCATAATTAACCGAAGACCGAAGACCGAACCGAAAAGACCGAGACCGAAAAGACCAAGACCGAAAAGTTCGGTCATGAGTTCGGTCCTGGCTCCCAACTAACCGAAGTAACCGATAGAAGTTCGGTCATATGTGTCGGTTAACCGAAGTGACCGAAGTGACCGTAGTTCTGTAGACTTCGTTCGTAATGTCATTATGTGTGATTGTGATTTGTGAGAACTGAGAAAATTGTGTGCTAGAACTTGTCATAATAATATGTGGTTTGTTTTATATATTGTGTTGTTATTTTTTTGCCTTCAAATAGCAAGCATGCTGTTGAAAATTGCTATAGATTCTGCTATTGTTTGTGGCTGCTACTCAGGTCCGGTTAGTTCGGTCGTGATCGAGACCGAACCGAACTAACCGAGACCGAACTTCCTCGGTCTTCGTCTTTTACAAAGACCGATCGGTCCCAGGTTTCTGATGACCGAACTGACCGAATGACCGAGGAATCAAACCGATCGGTTCGGTCTGACCAAATGCCCAGGGTGAACCGACACGGATAGGAAAA